AAACAGCCAGCTGAATTGATAATAACACATGTTTTGATGCATTAAATTTAATTTACCGTAAATCGAGTTTTTTTCAACATCCATTAGAGTATTTTCATCAGAACTTTATAGCCATCATCTTTTTATGGTGTTTATCTATTTCCTGTTGTATTCCGATTAAGATTATTACGATTTGGCTTTCTTTACTACTACCTCGGATATTTGTGTGAGATCAGCTTGTGCTGATCATCAAATACATGGTGATGATGAGAATTATGTTTCCGCAAATTCATTATTCTCTGATGTTAAAGGTGACTCAGATTGAATATATTTCAATCCTTGTTAGACACAATTAACAAATTAGATCCTACTGGAATTCTGAAAAAGTAAGGGTTAGTTATACCTACCCTTTAGAATTAAGATGCATATGTTAAGCTCGTATAACTTACTCTAGCTTCCGTAGAGACCGACTTATTGATTGTTTATGAGCTATATTTTTACCTTGTTAATTATTCACTTATTAACCTTGACTGTTTTTAAACGAGCGTATATCTATTCATTGTTTATCCTACTCATCATATGCCTGTAACCTATTTTTGTGAGACTATAAATGTTGAGTCACGTTTGATGAAATCATGTTGGCTCACTCGCCCTCTCCGTTCCGCTTTGCTTCCTAGCTTTTATTCCGAATGTGTGTTCGGATCAACGAGTGTACTAAATATACAGAAATAAAATTATTCCTCATATTTGATTTATTTTGTTTCGTTATTTCGATAATTATTTGCGAGGGTAGCCAAGATGTATATTTTGATAACATCATCATATGATCTTATTCAAGTCATATTAACGGGCCACAAAAATGAAATGTCCTATGCAAGGTATTACAACATCATGCAGTTAAACTTCCATCTCTTAAACAACCTTTATTTGGTTCATTTACTAAATATACAACATTATTTTAAAAACATAACTCTCGAATTTAATAATAGCAAATACAAACTATACAGTATACCAAAAACAATCCTAACCTATCCTAAACAATTCAGGTCATATTTTTTGAATTTCATTTGTTTATGACATCTCAGGCAAAATATTGACTGTTACTATGACTGTCTCTGTTCTCAACGAAACCAAGTTATATAATTTCGTGTTTGTATATTTTTTAATATATGTTTTTATAATCTAGATTTGGCAACACAGTAAGACACAAGACATAAAAATATAATTAACATTTTATACTGAGGAGATTTAACATATTCTGTCTTAGAATATGTTAAATACAGTGAGCAATGAAATTTAAATCGATATCTAGAATATGTATTCATGTTATGAATCAAGTACATTGTGGTTATTATTATTTAACCTACAATAGTAACTAGTATTTCTGCCTTTTAAAACACAATTCAAATTTTCTTAGATATTTTAGACTTAAAAAGTCTCATTTTGATGTACTTGAAATTACCCCAGTCATCAGTCAATGTACATGTAGAAATATACATCATTTTTTTTAAAAAAAAACGGGGAAATATTAATTTACATCTCTATCATATAAAGTAGTGTTTAACTTTACAAACATCTTTTCATTTGAAATATAATTAATGGGGTTCATACCAAACAGTATTATTTGTTAAAATATATTAGAGTATTTATAAAAGACAAACTAACTGACAACGAATGTTTCACATAACCAATCCATTTAACACAATTTTAAAAAAATAGGGAAACAACAGCAGTCGATGATCTTCTATATTCTTGAATTCATGTTGGTCTTTATTCAATTTCCATATCATTTTCTCTCAATTTTCTATTCATGTTAATGTTAAATTATTTTCTATGTGTCCGCCTAACATATTCCCTTCATTGAATACTCACTTACTTACTCCTGTCACTCCTAATGGATCATAGGCCGCCGGCCAGCATTCTCCAACCCACTCTGTCCTGGGCCTTCCTTTCTAATTCCATCCAATTCTTGTTCATTTTTCTCATGTCTATCTTCATTTTCCGGCGTATTATGTTCTTTAGTCTTCTTCTTTTTCTTTGGCCTTGAGGATTCCATGTGAGGGCTTGTCTTGTGACGCCGTTGGGCGCTTTCCTCAATGTGTGTCCTATCCACTTCCATCGCTAATAAAGAAATTTATTCAAACCTTCATTGGATAAACATTCATTTTATCTTCTCCTTCTTCTTGATTTTGTTTACAAATACAATAGATTTAGTTTGTTATACCAAAAAGAAAAAAAAAGAGGAAGAAATTCACCATTTTGATTGTTATTACTAACAATGACTAACACATGGATCATACATTAAAAAAAAAACTAGAAAGCTCAGGATACACATTGATTATTATTAGAATTAATTATTTACTTATTCATCATTTCAATAAAATATAGAATTGAAATTATTATCATGTCACTAAATTGAATAAGGACCTTTAAAAGTAGAAAGAAACTAAATAAAGGTAAAAAGAGGGGAAGAAGTTGTTTGTAGAATATAAATGAAATAAGATAAAAGAAGGAAACAAGAGATAAAGTAATCAAGTAAACAAGTGTTTCCACTTAAATAATTATTTTATTTGTTAAATAGGTACCGATACATTAAATAAAGATATCTTAGTTGTATCATACTGGAAATAATTGACTGCGTTTGTATATATGTGTATATAATAGAAAAGTAATATTTAAATAAACAAATAATTGAGTGTGTTTTCAATTTTGTTTTCTTTGTATTTCATATTGTTATGTTCTTTGATTAAGAAAAAGAAACTGAAGGTGAATATGTAAAATTAATTGAATATAATGAAAATGAAATAACATGTGTGAACTGATCCGAAGATAATAATAATAAAACAGACTGTATGTATCATTAAAGAAGAATAAAGACAATTTAGTGAAGAGAAGTTTCCTTTTCTATGATTTCATTTAGATAAGTTGCACAGTCGTATTTACAGTGAATTATATTTGCTAAAAATAGTGGTCCGTAATAAATTAAAGTGATTTTAAATAGCCAGATAGCCTGAAGTGATGTCATGTTATAAACTTATCTGATGACCGGCTGGTAAAGAATGCTAATTTACTTCCTTACTTCCTTACGCCTGTTACTTCTCGTGACGGAGCATAGGCCGCTCACCAGCATTTGCCATCCAACCCTGTCCTGGGAAAGAATGCTAAGGTGAAGAAAAATGTCTACTTAATAGATATTAAGAATTGAATAATAATTAAAAGTTGTATTAATGACTAATTAATATTTGTGAAAAAAAATAGGAAGGAGTAGAAAACAAACGATAGATTATGGAAGATAGAAATGAAGGTTTAGGCTATGGTAAAACAATGCATTGGACATATCGTTTTTGTACAAAAGGTTAGGATTGAACAGTAATATAGCTATAGCCTTTGTTGTACATAAGTTTATATATTCATTCCTCTTAAACTGATTATTCTGACAGTATAGATAATTTTGAAGGAGGCTTCTAGTGAAGTAGAATGGGCAGAACTGTCTAAGTGCTCTGGTTAGCGTTTTTTTAGAGAGTTAGTTTTCTACGGGATGGGGTCGCTAACCCCATGCCCAACCCTCCTTCTTTATCCGGACTTGGGACGGTCTTGAAATGGGATAAAATAATTATCCAGTAAGCATTAGTTTATATAAGTTGTCTAAATGATGTGAAGTAGTTGATAAGTTCATGATATACCAAATTGTTTTTTTTAAAAAGAAAAGAAATTCATAATATTCTTCCATGAATTTAAGACTATAATAGTTTTATTATCATAATTTAATGAAGAAAATGCTTCAATTTATGGTACACTATACCGATGTATCATCTTAAACAGATCAATAAAATGATAATTGACTTTAGTTATACATCTTTATATGAAGTTGATTTCTCTAATATCGGATTCATGCAATTCTTCAATTTTTTTTCCCATCAAAATAGATCATAAAACTTTGAGACCTTCTATACAAAATTTACTGAATCTGTCAGTTAACTGATAGATTTAAATGAAAACATTTTCTCTAGTTTATCTACAAATATATACAATTTTGAGGATAGTTTTCATCTATGACTAACAGTATCATGGAATACTAAAGATCAATGGTGCACATCTTACATATTAATGTTTATCTTGAATCTTTAAGCAATACATTGTCCAACAAGATCATATTTTCTAGTAAACATTGCATAATTGTTTATGAAAAATAAAATCTAGAAAATAATATACAAAACATAAAACGATTCATGATCATTTATTTCCTCATTATTTATATGATATTTATTAAATATTGACTGGATAAAAGGATAAACGTCGTTTTTCTTTTCTTCTTTTCTTCTTAAATGGTCACAAATGAAATTTGATTAAGAGACCACCATGATTTATTACAGTTCAAAACAAAAACAGAACACACACATATATATCCATTCACTTCAGTAGTGAAAAAAGTGTCATTAGTGTTGGTTTATTCAAATTTTTTTATACTAAGAATCTAAAACGATTTAATGTAGAATGGAAAGAAAGAGCAAGAGGATAGATAAAACGGAAAAAGAAAAAAAAAGTGAGTGAAAAATGAAGGAAAGCAAAGGAACCATTTCAAAACACATTGAACTAAATCTAATGAAGCTTAAAGTTTATTTCATTAAAATTAATTTTTTTTTATTATTATTTTACAGATATGATAATGAAGATGAATGAAGATTAGTTTGAGTGCGTGTGTGTGTGTGTGGGAGGTGGGGGGTGTTTTTTTTTCTTTGTTTTTTTAATTAAAAAAAATTGTTTTATTATTTTATTCATTGGTGAATCATACGTCAAATAAATCAGTGTAAAATAAATGTATATCAATACTTGTACAAATTAATTGAAGAATCTATGCAAAGAAGTAATCGCATTGAATTCATCTATATGAACTTTCAACAACAAAAACCAAAGACATTTATTTGGAAGTTATTACTTATTACAAAAAAAAAAACAACAATAGTTTGTTATTCTTATAATTTTCACATTTCTTTTATTGTTTTCTTCATGAATTTACTTAGATGCAATCACATTCTGAAGATCATCATCAGTCAGTTATTAATAGGGGTGAGATAAATCCATCGATTGTTAATACACATCAACGAGTGGATAATGAAATTGGTCAAGATCAAAATATTGAACAAGATAAAATTATTCATCAATTGATTCAATCTAATAAAGGTAGTAAAATAAATCAACAACAACCATCAGTAACACAAATTTCTGCTGCTGCATCATTTTTTACCAGGTAAAAATTAGTTTAGATTGAATGTTATTTATTAAATAAATTAAAAAGGTGTTACGTTAGTTATAATTGTATGTATTTTGTTTATCAGTATAAGGTTGTGGAGATTGTTGAGTTTTGATTGAGATCATGAATGGATTATTATTGAGCCACCATTGAAAACTTGAGAGCACTGAACGGCCATTTCGTCCTAGTATGGGACTTCTTAGCAGTGTGCACTCACGATCTTTCACGTTCACGTTCAACCTCCAGATCACTGAGTCGGCATTCAACGGTGTTAATATCAAGCCAATCCACGATATTGTGGGACCATCCTCCAATGTCTTCAGCGAATAACTGCCTCATACCAGACACAGTTGAACTCTATTGGTCATGGTTTCTCACTAGAACTCCTGGAAATCCATTTTATTTAAACAATAAAGAAATTGTGTAAGAAATACAGCATAAATTCATTTACATTTACATTAACGTTTCTTATTTTTTTTTCAGAAAATTACCACTTGAAGTATGTACTTGCATAGTATTCAGTTGTAAAATCCATTTACTGTTTGATATATTCAAATTATTTCGGAAACATATTTATAGAAGCAATATAACCCTAGATTTGGGTGTAAATTATAGGAAAAAATGACATTTTTTACACAAAGTTTTAAGCTTTTCATCCTATAGTCTGATTCTGTTATCTTCTTCTGTCAATAGGGTATTGATAACTATGAAAATTGTTTAAGATTTCAAAGAGTTTCATTAAACATATTAAATCACGCAACACTTAAGATTCGGCTAGTGATTAGAGAAATTAAAACTATGTTATACTGCCTAAATTATGATTATCCACTTAGTTGCCTTGATATTGTATAGTGTTCTAACTGATACACTGATATTAGGTAATGTAAAAAGCACAAAAAAACAGTAAAAATAACGCTTTTCGTCTATCAAAATTGACTGGTTTATGAGACGAGTTAAAGTAATATCATTTGGGATATAGAATAGTTGAGAACTATGTATGTAGATATAGATGTAGTTTGTGTTACCACCAAACAAATGATAAACATAATCCCTTATTATTTAGTATATCCAACAAGTTATAACATAAATTACATTTCAGATAGTTTTGTCATAAAAAATTTGTATGAGAGACTGATATTTCAATGATACATATGTCTAATATCTATTCTATAAACCTTGGAGAAAATTTATTTTACTTGGAATACTCGGAACATCGTTTGTTTAATCCTGAAAATTTACCAACGGTTTAGGTAACATTATTACAACTTATTAGATCTTGCAAAAAAGTTTCTGTCATTAAATGAGTAGTGATCAATGACATACTTGTCTAGTCTTTTAGATATGGTTGTATTCTGTAGTTACAGTTTCAAAATTATCAAATAAGACAATGAACTTTAAAAACGATTCGGTTAATCAATGTGAACCTATTTATTTGAACACATTAATACTGGTACAAAGGGGCACTGAATGCATATGCGCCACACAAGCCACTTGATTTTTGTGTGGGCTGTGATGCTGCCCGGCTGCCCAAACAGGAGCAGGTGGTTTTCTTAGGAAACCACACCCGGAGCATTCGACCTAAAGGTCTAATCCACAAGACAGTGAAGCAACGTCACGAGATGCAGTTATATGTTAGCCGGTGACCAACGATTGGTTCATACGCCATTGGTTTGGAATCAGGGTTTTCCAACTACCCTAGGTGAACTCTCCGTATCCAACAATCCGATTAAAGCGCTGAACATTCACTTTTCGTCCTCTGAGTTTCGTAAACAGCACTCTTGCCACGAGAAGGCAGTGATTAGGACTTTCCTGTCAGTGGTTGTATACGCGTGGCCATGCGACAGCATTTGGAGAGCGAGTTAACTCTCCCCACCCTTGGCTGTATCAGGGCATTTAGGTTTATCAAAATGTTTTTTTAAAATTTTTACAAAGATTTCTTATTACAATTTTAGTTTAACTAAGCTACTACTTAAAACTTCGAAATTTTTTGAACAAAAATCAGCTCAACTTCAAGTATTTAGTTAATCGAATGAATCAATAACAACAACATTTTTTCATACATAACAGTATAATGAATTCCTAATGATGAATAATTAATTTTGTGTCCACATGGAAGGTGAATCTTTCTTTCTTTTTTTAACAAAATTGTTTACTCAAAACATCAGGTATAAATTAAACGAGATCTATGAAAATATAATCACTATGGCTAACTAATTATAATATAATTAAAGAACAATTCATACGATTTTATTCCACTTCAATGTTTGTGTGGTCATATTAACTTCTGTTGTTGTTTTTTCTTTTCATCATTTGTCATTATGTCAGAACGTTTTGTTTATTAGTTGTCGGTCAATCATTATAGTGTTCATATCATTCATTTTTTACTTATAAAACATATTGAATTATCCTGTCATAATCTATTACTTACTATTTACTGAATTTATAATTATAAAATGAGAGTTACAATTTATTTCATATTAACTAGTTAACTATTAAATAATGAATATGTTAAAACAAAAATAGAAACTGATTTTCAACACTTACTGGAATCCTGCTGTGATTTAAAATAACTTACAACTTTGGATCATCATCATGATCACCTTTGAATAGGTTTTCTTAGTCATGTCAAATCAACAAAAAATTTAAAAGTTGACAGTTTCACAAACTGATATCAACATCTGAGGTTTTTTTTATAAAACGTTTTATGTTGAGTCTTTAATGGTGAGCTAGCATGGTTGCATATAAGATAGTAACTATGACATTCAGACTTGATACCTGTTGATCTATGAAATTCTATTCAATAATTCTTTTTCTTTTTCAATTAGTTATTTGTGATAAAGCATAATCGTTATCTTAAGTTGTAGATAGGTAGATACCGATTTGATGGTTATATATAAGTCAAGATTTATCAATAGACTTGTAAACTTCACTTGGATACTCATCATTGTTGTAAAACTGAATAGCGATAAAAAAAAAGTAAAATTAGTTAACTGATAAACTTGAAAATTGTGAAGGCGAAAAGTTGAAATTCGTAGATTTAAGGATTTCGACTTAGTTGAGTAGCACGCTCAGTGAATAATCTTAGCATATACCCCCCTCATTTTTATTTTTTTTTCAGGTAAGGTCGAAAAACTGACTTTGTTTTGAACTCAGATCAATTAGATGGAAACCATTTCTGTTTATTTAGTTATTTAAGTTGTTATGGTGGATATAAATTAGGATGCTGTTGAACTTTTGTATCTTTTATGTTTTTCACTGCTTACCTGAAACGGCCTTAATTAATATCACTGACAATCAAGTGAGAAACTCTCAGTTATGTAATGTTTGATTGACTGGCAACGTTAAATTCATTTAACTCAGATTACAGATAAAACTGACCTCTAGAATGTTATAGAGCTTTTTTCTCGAAGCATTTAGTGTGTACTACTACAGTAAACTATTTCCAAGTGTGTTATGTTGAAGTTTTGGATAATAATTTAAGTTCATTGAGTTGATATCTGTCAGATTTCGAGCTATTTTCGGTAAGAGTATAGTATGGGGGGAGAGCTTATAACAGCCATGAGAAATTTTCGGCTAGCTCTTTGTAAATTGAAACTTTGAGCAAAAGAACATAACATTATTTCAAAGTATAAACAGATTTCACACAACTGATGAAACTGTTTATGTCTTCAGATTATTCTGTCAACTAATCTACAAATCATTGACATGCAAGTTTGTTTTTATGAATGTAGATTATCGGTCTTCTCAAAGCCTTATAATAACCCAAATTAGATTTTTTAAAGTCCCCACATTTTATATAAGGTTCAAAATTCGAGGTCTAAGGCAGGGATTTTTTTATCATAAAATGACATCATGTTTACGAACATCCTTTACTATTTTTTCTATCTAATAATAACTGGTCAAATTAACTGACAAGAGATTATTTCCACAAAATGTTTATTACGTCCGCATTAGATTACTTCATTTTGAGATTAGCGATATTGTAATTTGGTGGCCTATCTTTGTACAACAGCTTGGAGAAAAAGTACAGCGATTTGAGATCACGAAGTGATCTGATTTAAAAAACCATTGAGAACCTGGAGGCACTGAACGGATCTTTTGTCTCAGTGCAGTGCCCCTCAATAGTATTTCCAAATTTGTAATGGTTGTTTAAATTTGATTGGTTTTTGATTCCAATGAACATTAAAGTTGATTTTTTTGGTGTAAGTTATTTTATGTTTCAGCTCGTAGAAACATAGATTTAGTATAAAAATAAATTCACTATACAGAAATATGTATATTTCTGTTAACTTTAATTCTATTCTTCAATATTACGAATTTAACAATTTCTTCACATTTTACTAATTATTCCTCTCATTCATATTATTCTCTGTCACATTCTTATTTTAATGTATCTTTGTGTATTGATGTATAAGTGTGTATGTCTAGATACTCGTAGAATTGTAACTTAAAGAATACTACTTATAAATATAAGAATTAGTATAGGTTGTTATAGGTATAAGCTAAGCTTGTAAAATGTGAAAAAAGAATGGTATATGAATAGTTACTTCAGATGTCCTTTTTTTGTCGAATAGTTCCTATCTTACTAAGTTATACTTTACATTTCGACTTGTTTTTCCATTTATTATTATTTTGGGAATTGTCTTTAAGAAAAATGAAAGACATAAACATAGTGACTAACGTCCCTAGATAGTATTCTTTAATCAAAATAAATCAGTTTCAGTGATGAATAGTTATGATTATGGATTATTTCTCTTTTGTTCATTTATCTTTCAAATTTATTTTAATAAGCAATTAGTAGCAGTTATTAGATGAACTTAGGTTCCGTTTCCATGAATACTCATCAGTAATCTTAAGGAAACTGAAATCGATCATCAGATTACAACCCACTTCAAGTAACATCACAGAAACGTTACTACTGGTCTATTTTAATTTGGTGGGAACCTTTATTTCGTCGTCATTTAGATCGGATGATGTCGGAGGGCTCTCCAATTTAA